CGGCTGCTGCCCTGAGTTCGTGCTCACAGGGGACCTCAACACCTCCTTTGCCTACATACCCTCGCACCTTCATTACATGCTGTTTGAGATCCTCAAGGTGAGGCTTTTCTGTACTCGTTTTAAGCTCTTTGGCTGCTGCCCTGAGTTCGTGCTCACAGGGGACCTCGGGACCTCCTTTGCGTACATCCCCTCGCACGCATCTGCACTACATGCTCTTTGAGATTCTCAAGGTGAGGCTCTTTTGTACTCGTTGTAAGCTTTTTAGCTGATGCCCCTGAGCTTGTCCTCACCACATCTGCATGCCCCCCGTTTCTTCGCAAACACTCCATTCAACCCTGAGATGCTAAGATTAGCTTGCGTACCCTCTTCCGTCCGTTCACCCATCGATCCAATCAGAATGCGTCACGAGCGATCGTGGAGCATCACACTGACCAATCAGGGGAGTCGATGCTCTCCTCTTCAGCCAAGTTCCCCCCTGTTGTAATCACGGTCTGCTCCGGATCGAATGAAGTCACTATCAAGGTGAGACCATGGTGCCCTGTTATATGAGCGGTGTTGTGTTGTGCCTGAGATAGCGACAGTTGGGTTAATAAAATAAAATAAAAACAAACGAAATAAAATAAAAATCGAAACAGTTATCCATCCATCTATCCATTTTTTTCATCCATCCATCCAGCATATCCATTTGGTTGGTAATGCATTCATCCCATCCCATCCCATCTCATCCCATCCCACCCCATCTCATCCCATCCCACCCCATCGCCAGGTGTCTGATCTGGGAGGGGGCATTCCAGAGAAGCTTCAAGCCAAGGTGAGACAACAGTGGGTTGGCAGTGGAAGGTTCAAGGGAATTAGAAATCGGTGTAGTGTGGTGTCGAAATCAGGGAGAATCCAGGGAGGTCTCACGCATATCCTACTTGTGCATCGATCGTCAGGTGACTGTTGAGAAGGCTCAAAAGCCATGGCATCGGGTGACTCATGTATGTATCCCTCCTATCCTCTGATTTTTTGTCGACTCGTAAATTGGTGTCCTCCGATGCATGTATCCCTCTTGTGTGCCCATCTCCAGGTGTTGCAATGTGGCTGCTAGACAGTGGCGGGTGGTGGCATTTGAGTCGACCCAAAAGATAAATTGGCCGACTTTTGAGTAGACCCAAAAGATAAATTGGCTGACTTTTGAGTCGAGCCATAAGATAAATTGGCTGACTTTTGAGTCGAGCCAAAAGATAAATTGGCTGACTTTTGAGTAGACCCAAAAGATAAATTGGCCGACTTTTGAGTAGACCCAAAAGATAAATTGGCTGACTTTTGAGTCGAGCCAAAAGATAAATTGGCTGACTTTTGAGTAGACCCAAAAAATAAATTGGCTGACTTATGAGTCGACCCAAAATCTGAAATTGGTGTCCGATGCACGAATCCCTAATCTGCGCCCATCTCCAGGTGTTGCGCTGTGGCTGCTCGATAGTGGCGGGTGGTGGCATGAGTGATACCCACCCCTGCTGTATAATCGCCTTCTCCCTCTTCAACCCGCCTTCACCTGTCCGTCCCCAGGTGTGGCGCTACGGGTACTCGTCCGTAGAGGGTGACGTCAGCACCTCTAGCACCGTGAGATCAGCGGGTAAGGTTCATGGCTGCCTGGGATTTGGGCTGGGCTGGGGCCTGGGCTGGGATCAGAGCTACTTGAGACGATTTTTGAGTCGACTTTTGAGGCGCCTCAAAAGTCGGATCAGAGCTAGTTGAGACGATTTTTGAGTCGGATCAGAGCTAGTTGAGACGATTTTTTAGTCGACTCAAAATTCGTCTCATCACACGCGGGTAAGGTTCATGGCTGCCTGGGATTCGGGCTGGGCTGGTGGCTGGACTGGGATCGAGGTTACTTGATTGTCTTGTTTGTCAGTGACCTCTTTTGAGTCGTCTCGAAGGTTGGGCTGGGCTGGTGGCTGGACTGGGATCGAGGTTACTTGATTGTCTTGTTTGTCAGTGACCTATTCAACCCGACCCGCCATCCACAACCTACCAACAACTCCTCTGGCCCCAGACCAACAAGTCAACAAGCACCTCTCCCCCCTCTCACCCCACCACCATCAACCAATTCCCAAGGGACGCCCATGGCGGGGCTGGGATTCGGGCTGCTGGTGTGTCTTGTTTGTCAGTGCCCTCCTAAATCTGCCGTCCAACCCCCTTTCTTCCCCCACTCATGAATCACCCGATCCTGCATCCACCACCCGCCATGCTCACCCAACCAGCCGGCGGCCCTGTGGATTCCCAAGGGACGCCCCTGGCAGGGCTGGGATTCGGGTTGCTTGTTTGTCTTATTTGTTAGTGACCTCCTAAATCTGCCGTCCAACCCCCTTTCTTCCCAACCAGCCGGCGGCCCTGTGGGTTCCCAAGGGACGCCCATGGCAGGGCTGGGATTCGGGCTGCTTGTTTGTCTTATTTGTTAGTGACCTCCTAAATCTGCCGTCCAACCCCCTTTCTTCCCAACCAGCCGGCGGCCCTGTGGATTCCCAAGGGACGCCCATGGCGGGGCTGGGGTTTGGGCTGCCTTACTCGCGGTTGCTGGCGCAGTACCTTGGCGGCAATATCGAGGTGTGCATTGTGATATTGAGGTGTGCATTGTGATATTGAGGTGTGCATTGTGATATTGAGGTGTGCATTGTGATATTGAGGTGTGCATTGTGATATGGAGGTGTGCATTGTGATATGGAGGTGTGCATTGTGATATTGAGGTGTGCATTGTGATATTGAGGTGTGCATTGTGATATCGAGGTGTGCATTGTGATATCGAGGTGTGCATTGTGATATTGAGGTGTGGGGGTGGCATTGAGGTGTGGATGTTGGGTTGACGACGAGTAACTTCGAAATCAGGTGATTTGGGAATGCGTGCTTTACACTAAAATTGTTCGCTGAATACCCGTCTGTTATTCGCATCTTTCTCTGCTCCATGCTTGTCCTTCTATTCCCTCCTGCCTTGGCTGTTTGCTTCTCCTTCACTACATTCACATTACCCCAGATGGTTAGCATTCCTGGTTATGGCACAGATGTGTATGTGAGGGTGCGGCGGGTAGTTGACCAGACAGAAGCCGTGGAGATCTGACGTGAAATGTACACGCAACAGCTTGTCTCGGCCTCCGTAGCACTAACACGTTAATTTATTGATGTGCAAGCAAACAGGAAACCTGGATGTTTAAAATATACGATGTCACCGTGCACTGATTTGTTTTTTAAATGCCCCATATTGTGCTTGGTGAGCCCTCTCTAGCTCTAGTGATTTGTGATTTGACTGAACCCGCTTTGTCAAAGTATCAATATAGCATAGATTATCCCAAGAATGTTTCTGCGCTTCTGTTGCGGCAAACGCTGTTGCAAATGTCCAAGTGGCGCGTATACGAGCAGAATCTGTTGACCCACTGAAATTTTGCCATTTCAGCTTCTCTGGTCAGCCCCAATATCGGTCGTACTTGTACGACGACCCTGAAGAATAGATGAGGCGTATCCAAAAGCCAAACTCAGAGAGTTCAAATGCACAGGTGACACCTTTCAAGGTGAATCATCCTGCTTCCAGCGGGTTGTGGTGATAATATAGTTACGTAACCAGATCGTATGAGCTGCTACCGGAGATGCGATGAAGTTATAGAGCAGGCTCTGCACACAGAACACCCACAGATTTGATCAAAGCGGAGACTCCCGAGCCGCGGTGTGGTGACCATCACAGGCAACGGCCCATGCCACGAGTTCCGCGGCTGTGCTCTTTGAGTGGAGTGGAGTGGACTGGACTGCTCCTCACATTCCCGCATCGCATGTGGTGGAAGGTTCTCGCGAAATGCTTGGCGATTTGCTTCTTACCAGTCGGCTGTGTGAGCAAATCCACCTGGGGTCTGCTGACTGGAATTTTGCACCAATCGGAAGACAGTCTTGGTTACCAGATATGGAATGAAACAGCCTACGGTATCATGTCAGGAACAAGCCGATGTGTACGCGCCACACCACCTCGCACCGTACGCGTGCGGTGGTGCTTCCCCCTTCCATTCCCGACTAGACGGTACAGAACTGTACAATTCGTACAGTACGAGACGCGTACGGTCATGTCAGCTCGTACCCTGCGAGGGTAAAGCCTTGGGAGTTGCACAGCCGTTGCACCACCATTTGACAAGAATGCTTCATTTGAACTTCCAACCTATTCCAGCCTGTTTCTCCCTTGATCATGCGACCAGCTATCTTTCATCACCTTTTACCCAGCCTGTAGTAATTCCTTTTCAGGACGATCAATTCGCAGACATTCTCCAGTTACCTCGCTAGCGACTGAGGCCGCCGCGCCAGTAGCTAGCGGCGGAGCTGCCCTGCCGCCACGTCATTTCCGTCAGAGAAAAGCCTCCCCCTCCAATTGTTCATGTGACAGGCTCGGTTCGTACAGTACTGTACTGTACTGTACGGTACGACATCAGTGCGGAGAGGAAAGCGCACGAGAAACAAGAAGCATCCAGCTTGGCAAAAAGCTGGAGCTTCTATCTGCTTTTTGTTAGGCGTGGAGCTTTTTGGAATAACGATCGGAAGAAACAGCAAGATACTTTACCTCGAAAGCCCCCGCACCGCTCGCAGCCATTGAAGGATATAAAGAACATAGTTAGTGCAGCTCCATTGCGGACTTATCTCCTTACAGCAACTCCTTTTTCTCCCTCCCCGCGCCTCGTTCGTGTTGACTTGGTACGTGACTAGCTCCACTAGGGTCGCCTTTCCACATTGCCTCGAGTTCCAGCTTTCGCAGATTCCCACTTTTGATTGAGAAATTGCGGGCTGGGACCCGTCAAACCAGCAAACGTTGGAGATAGTAGCGCTCCATAGCCGGCGGTAGAGGACTATACGGACTGCAGCCGACCCATAAAAAAAAAACACACAAAAAGAGGTCCGACCTGACACGTCTTCGCCGCACTTCGCACTCGGCTCAAGGTCATCTGATAACCGCGTAACCGGCAGCAGCCATGGATCACGACATGAGCGCCATGGGACACGACATGAGCTCCATGGGCGGAGGTTCAACCGGAACGGACACTTCCAGCCCAACCTACGACCCGGATTCTCCGTCCAGCAGCAGCAACTCAACGAGCGGGAGCGGGTCAATGTCGATGATGATGATGCAGATGTGGTTCTACTGGGGTCCGAACGTGATTATTCTGTTTGAGAACTGGAAGACGAGCAACTGGGGGTTCTACCTGCTCGCGTGCTTCCTCGTCGTTGTCTTCTGCGTGCTCCACGAGTTCCTCACGTCGTTTCGGCTGAAACTTTCCGCCACCCGCCGATGCCGTGTCAAGGACGCCGAGCAAGGGTAAGTCACGCTGGCGCGGTTCCCCCCCTCCTCTCCTCCCACCCTCCTTTCCCCATTTCTCCGCCCCCCTCCCCCTCCCTTTCCCCCATTGTCATCTTCAATTGCAGTCCTCGCTCCCTCTCCCATGAGACACTATAATTGTTCTTTTTCGTTGCCCTCCCTCGCACTCTTCGGTCCTCATTGCTCACTCACCACTGCTCACCGCTCATCACTCCCACTTTGACTCGCTCTCTCTCACCGCCAGTCCCCCTTGCTGCACGCGCTACCACTTTCGCTAGCCACTCATTACCGCTTCTCCCTCTTACTCCTCCCTCACCCCCCCTCCCGCTCTCCCCTCTCTCTCCTTCCACCCTCTCCCTCTCCCTCTCCCTGCTCTACCTTTCCCTGCTCCGCCTCCCTCTCCCTGCTCCCCCTCCCTCTCCCTGCTCCCTTTCCCTCCTCACCTCCTCTCACTTCCCTCTCCAGTGCTGGTGATGTTGATGCCTCGAGCAGCAAGAAGGCGTACCATTGGCGGCCTCTCCTGGACCGCCTGGCAGTGACGGGCATGTACGCGCTCAACCTTATCTTCAGCTATGCGATCATGCTCATCGTTATGAGCTTTAACATTGGCCTCTTTATCGCGGTCGTTCTCGGCCTCACTATTGGCTTCTTCTTTTTCGGTGCCAAGAGGCGGAAGAACTCGTCGGAAAGGCCGATTGTTGAGGAGGCGCAGGAAGAGAATTGCTGCGCGGGTACTTCTGATGCGTGCTGCGCCGCGCCATAAAGGGGATGTTTTTTTGGGGGGGGGAGACATGCTAGAGGAAGGTTAGGGGAGAGAAACGAGTGGCGAGGTAGAAGTACAGCAGCTCCTGCAGCTGTTCTGGAAGGGAGGGGTAGTTCTGACTCTTACCGGGTCGCTCTGTATAGGGGAGTAGCTGGTGTTGTGTGAGCGAGAAAGAGATGGAATGGAACACAGTGAGTCAGCCAGAGCAGGAAGCAAGGCTACGGAATGCTGAACTATGCACTGGACTCTGGACAGTGGAGATGGGCTGTAACAACTCTATGTACTACCATCTACCGGTAGCAGGATGCAGTATGCATCCTACACTTTACCGTGTGAAGTGTTCAAGTGTGCACTTCATCAGTTGCTTTTACAGAAGTATGGTACTTCACATCATTATAGACTTCTGTCGCATCACACTAGAATTCACGCATTGAATCAGGCAAGTCTGACAAGAGGTCCGCCTGATAGAAGGCGTAGGAAGGAACTATGCCCCTAGATTTCAGCCTTTTTACGCTGATTCAGCCTTTTTTTCTGTACCAAGGCTGATTTGTCAGCCTTTTCCCCAAAAAACTTGGTATTTTTTCTCATAAATAGAAGGCAACGGAAATAGATGAACTAGGAAAGTGAGTGATTCAAATAGCAAACCTAGAAGTGTTGTACTATATACAGTGCTACTCACTACAGCCTATTATAACAATGTGCTGTTAGAATAAGCAGGCAGGAATGATTGCATTGAGCAGTAGGATGAGTACAAGTATGAAACCCTAAAGGGTTGTACTCACTAGAGTATGCCCCACTACAGCCTAGAAGCATACAAATGTATTTTGACACACCCCCATAGGCAAAGTGGGGGATAGCAAACACAACGAACGGTCACAAGACCAGTCAAGCAAGAGAACAAAGCAAAGCAAAGCTCAGGGTAGATCTCAAGGTCACCACTCATTCTGAGCACAAGCAAGCGGCCACAAGGCCAGTTCACATGCAGAGTTATAAGAGCGTGTTCCTACACCTCGTATCAGAAACACCTCGTACCACCTGGTGAAATACGTTTCACTGTGTTCGACTGCGGTTGGATGCGTTTTAGTGCGGTTCGACGCGAATCTGATATGAGGTTGCCTGATATGAGGCCGTAGGAACACGCTCTAATAGCAAGGCAGTACACTGATCACAACCTAGCAAGAGTAAACAAGCAGGTATAAAGATATAATTATAAAATTTAAACACACATTGTGTTTTTTAAAATTGTGTATTGTGAAAGCGAAGCTGCTTGTACTGCACAATTGGCATCGTCGAAGAGCGCTAAACGCCCTTCTCCAACTACAAAAACCGTGGGTTGGAGTTCATTTCCCTCCACCCACGTTTCTCGATTTTCAAACGGCTCACTCAACATTTTCCGCTCACGTAGTTCATCCCTCCGTCCAAGCTGGCTAGAACAAAATCGCTTCCTAGAGGCGAGTCACCTTCGACTTTACTCAACGACATTTTTAACTTCAATCGCTCAACGATGGCACCGACGCCGACACTTAACAACGGGAACTCGTCCAACCCTGCCTCCGACAACGACCGTAACACCCGCGATTTGGCGGGCGAACGCCGTAACAAGCGACGGGCAGAAGATGGACCGCCCGCCCCGACTGCAGTGTACGTGCTGCTGGGCGGGCTCGAGGTCAACAAATCGGCCAACGCCCAGCAGCACCCTTCGGCGCCAGTGGCGCCTGAGGCGCCTGTGGCGCCAGTGGCACCTGCGGCGCAAGTGGCGACGGCCGCTGGCGCGGCACACGCCACTGACGCCGAGCACACGCCAGCACCCGCGGCTGGACCGTCGCGTCAGCGCCAGAGGAGGCGGACGGCGGTCTCCTCCTCTGACGCGACGACCACCCCTGCATTGACGCAGGCGTTGACCCCGGACCAGGTCAACGCGCTGCTGTCCCTTCTACAGCAGCAGCCCGTCAGCGTTACAGCCGCGGAAACTGCACTACCCGCTGCATCTGCGTCGGCTAAAAAAGAAAATACGAAAAAAGAAAAGGGTGCGCGAGGAGCAAAGACGAATCGGCACGACAACGACGCAGCAACAGCAGCACCCCCCGCTCCAGCGGTCGACAACGACACCGACTGTCAAGAAAGGAAGTGATGATGTCATTGATGTGAGTTGGGGTACATATGACAAACCCTAACTTCTGTACCCCCTAAGACAAACCTCACTATAGGCTACAATATTTGACACACCCCTATAGCCTAAGTGAGGGGTGTCTAGCAAAACTAAAAGTGTACGGTCACAAGACCAGTCACAACGAAACAAAGCTCAGGGTGGATCACAACGTCACCACACACTCTGAGCACAAGCAACAGTGGCCACAAGGCCAGTCCAAGAGTTCACAAGTGTGTATAGCAAGAGTACAAGCAAAGCAAACAGTAAACTCAAGCCTATACACGACTAGAACCTGTGTCAACAAGGCCTAACTGCACACAACACCTCTGGTGGTCACAAGGCGGAAGCGCCTTGGTGAAGATGTCTGCAGTGTTGGCCTCGGACTCCACAAACTCGAAGCGAGCCTGTCCACGTCTCTGCAGCTCTCGCAGAAGGAAGTACCTGACGTGAATGTGCTTCACTCTGCTCTCCAATCGCGGCTCACGACAGAGGAGAATCGACGCCTTGTTGTCAGTGAACAAGGTCGGTGCAGAGCTCGGCCGCTCACCAAGGTCAGCGAGCAAAAACGTCAACCAACGCAGCTCCTGTGCCGCCATGGCACCAGCGTAGATCTCAGCCTCAGCTGTAGAGGTCGAGACCGAAGAGGAGCGCGTGGACCGCCAGGAAACAGCTCCAGAACCCAAGCTGAAACAGTACCCCTGAGTAGACCTGTGAGTCTCAGCGTCGTCAGCGTAAGAAGAGTCACAGTGACCAGTAAGTACGACAGGCTGCTGCCCTCCAAGAACTAGCCCCACGTCTGATGTCGTCGCTAGGTACTTCGCCACCCTCACAGCTGCCGTCCAGTGAACAGGACGGTGCCTCCCTGGCACAACAAAGCGAGCAAGGACGCTGAGAGGGAAGGCGAGGTCCGGGCGAGTACAAGTCATCAGGTACATGAGGCAGCCCACTAGCTCTGCGTAGGGACCACTGGACTCAAACGGCTCGTCAGGAAAGGGTCCAGTGAGTCTGTGGTCAACAGCAAGAGGTGTGCGCTGTACTGTGGAGTGCTAAAGCTCGAACCGCTGAAGGACCTGCTGCACCATGTGTGACTGTGAGAGTGTAATGGTGCGAGCAGCTCTGTCCCTGGTGATCTGCAGGCCAAGGTAGTGACGCAGCTCACCAAGGTCAGTGCACGTGTGTCTCTTCTGCATTTCGGACTTCACGTCTGCCAAGGCAACCCTGTCAGCAGTGGCGAAAACCAGGTCGTCGACGTAGACTAGAACAAAGAACGGTGTGGAGCCACGACGAACGAACAGCGACGGGTCGGCAGACGACGGCTGAAAACCAAGGTCAGCGAGAGTAGAACGAAGGGTGTCGTGCCACTCACGAGGAGCCTGACGGAGACCGTAGACCGGTCGCCTCAGCCTCCACTGGGTCCCACGAGAGAAAGTGCCAGTGAAGGCAGAGGGACGACGCAGCCAGACCTCCTCGTGTAGGCTACCCTGAAGAAACGCAGTGGAGAAGTCGAGAGAGTGTAACTTGTAGTCTCTCTGTGCCGCTACGTGCAGTAACACCCGAAGAGTGGTCATCTTCGGGGTGGGCGCGAAGGTCTGAAAGAAGTCAACTCCCTCGCGCTGACTGAAACCTCTAGCCACGTAGCGCGCCTTGAAGACCGGAGGAGATCCAGGTGGCCGCTTCACCCTGTAGATCCACATGCCATCGACTACGTTCGCCCCAGGAGGGGGAACCTCGTCGACGTAGGTGCCTGTGGATCTGTAGGAGGCCATCTCTGCGTCCATGGCAGCTCTCCACTGAGAGGCCCAAGGCCCTGACACTGCCTCAGCGTAAGTGCGAGGAGTCGGTATGTCAAGGGCGTTGGGGTCTCCCTCAGGGGCGAGCAGCATGGCACAAAGATGAGGGGAAGCGGCTGCTAGGAACTCTAGCTCAAACTGCCTGTCCTCTAGGGCGTCACAGCCAAGGGCAGACACATCCCCGACGGCCAGAGGACTGGAAGGAGGAGCAGCCACAAGACTGGTGGCGAAGTCAAGGCGGCGAGTAGAGGCAAACTCAGTGACTGCGGCAGTAAGAGCGGAGACAGAGGACACAGAGGCACGAGGGTGGGTAACAAGAGAGGCGAGAACACGAGAGAGAACAGGACGGTACGTGCGGTAGTAGTCAGTGACAGGAGTAGAAAGCGAAGCAGTGAGGGCCGACTCAGGAGGAGACGGAAGCACAGACGGAGACGGACGAGGCGGGCTAGAACGAAGTAAGGCAGTACGAAGGTCAGTGAAGGGAACAGGGGACGAGGGACGAGCACGAGGGGAGCGACGAGAGGCCCAAGTCTGAGAAGGAGGAGGGGACAACGAAGACTGAGAACGAGGGAAAACAACTGGAGAGGGGTCAGGAGGAGGAAGCGGAGGACCCGAGACGGGAGGAGAGGGGGAGGAGGAAGGAGAGCGAGAGGGGAGACCGAGGGCCCGAAGACTGGAGACAGGAGGAGGAGGCGACGGCTGCTGCTGCTGCTGCGGCGGCGGCGGCGGCTGCTGCTGCTGCGGCGGCTACTGCTGCTCCTCCTGCTGCTGTAGCGGCTCCAGCTCCTGCGCCTCCTGCTGCTGCGGCGGCTCCAGCTGCGGCTGCTGCAGCTGCTCCTGCTGCTGCTGCTGCTCCTCCAGCCGCTGCAACTCTCTCTCCTCTCTCTCCAACTCCAGCTGCTCCTCACGGGCACGACGAACACGAGCCTGGTGCCGGGTCGGGTAGGGGTGGGGGGGAGGAGTAGTGTCGGGGGCTGCGGCAGCCCCGGGACCGCCCTCCAAAGCACCTAGCGCACCACCCCCAGAGTCAGCACCACCAACAGCAACACGACCAGGCTCAC